AATTTGTTTCCAAAACCCCGCAGTCAGGACATGCTATATTGTATTTAGATAGAAGCTAGCGAGCTAACTCCCTGCTAACTTCTAAATGTCATAAATTCCGTTTTCATGGATGCCTGGATGTTAAACTCACCTGGTAGAGCAGAACGCTGATCATTTTATTAAAGATAAAAGACTTTAGACAGTTTTTCAACTCTCAGTAATGCCATAGTGATCATTTTATTAAAGATGAAAGACTTTAGACAGTTTTTCAACTCTCAGTAATGCCATAGTGATCGTTTGATATATGGACCTGCAGCGGAGTTTAGGCCCAGACACGGCTAGTGACGTCAGACTTAACGACCCGATAGTACGCACCTTGTTTACTAATGTAATCTGGTCTATATTTAGAAAGAAACATGATTAAGGTTGTTTTATTTAAAGGAACATTTTGGATTATGTTTAGTGGTAATATGTATAATGATATCTCTGTCATTTACCTTACAACAGTGATTCAAACAGAGTGGACACAAGAAAAGCCAGCCACATATTTCAAAAACAACAAAATCTACATCTCCAAAACGATCCCTGTTGGATCCATGTAGTTGTGTTGCAGGAATGCCATTTCAGGGATGTCGAATTAAACTGGCAGCTGAGGGTTTTTTTGTGTTTTTTTGTTTAAAGATACTCACTGCATGGATGGACGTGTGAAGTAGAGAGCACAGAGTGCAGCCGGAACCCAGAGCAAACATTTCAGCGTGCACTTTATCTTCTGGAAGCATCTGCAGGTGAAAGGTTCAAAATTAACCATAAATACTGAGACTGAATTTCAATTTTAATTTCAGTAACTGGGCAGAAGTGTTACTGAACAGGCAAAGATGACATAAACACTAACCAGGGTGTTTTTAATACCTCATAGTTCACAGTGCTTCAACTTCACCAGACAACACTGAGAAATAATCTGAGAAAAGACAAAAAGGCATGGGTTTGGCTGAATTGGCAACTCTGACAATATTCTTAAGCTTTGCTATAACTGTTAAGTGTAGAACAGCATCAGAAACCAATCTTTTTTATAAAAAACAAAAAAACATTTTACATATTTTACATACATACAGTGGGGCAAAAAAGTATTTAGTCGATTGTGCAAGTTCCCCCACTTAAAATGATGACAGAGGTCAGTAATTTGCACCAGAGGTACACTTAAACTGTGAGAGACAGAATGTGAAAAAAAAAATCACGCCTTTCGTCTTCTGTCTGCTTTTGGGCAAAAATACCTCCTCGGAATATTCAGTGTCGCCTGTGACACTCATCATTTCCTTTATCATAGAAGTGCGAACAACGACGGGACTAAAGACGAGCCACTGCGCGCAGCCATTACGCACTGCTGTGTGGCTCATGTTACCTGTTATCTTTATTTCAACAGAAGGTGATGTAGGTTACAACACGATCTTACCGCTATTAGCAACATTAAAGATGTAAAAGGTGTTATTCAGAGGGCAACCTAGCGTGAAAAACAATTTTCTCACGATATTAAATTACATTTTTCGGTTTTCTTGCTGGTCTTTGCGCGTTGGGTTTTCTCTCTAGCTCACAGATCTCATCCTCTCTGACAGGTCAAATAAAGTAACAGCCGCCATAAAAATTCAGGGATTTATGTTATTATATTGCAATTCTGAAACAAATGAACCAATATTCAAATAAAGATTGGTAATAGTGATTACCTGTAGTTTTAGAGATGGCAGGAAATCGCAGTCTGTCTCAGTAATGGGTTAAGGCGGAAAAATAAGTGACAGGAGTGCCATAAAATGCCTTTGTGTTTCCGTGTCTGTAGTTCATGAAGAAAAAAGCCTAAATTAAGAACACCGCAATGATGAGCCGTCGTTTTAGATCATGCTGTATTACCTCCAAGATCTGGAGATGAAGCTTAAACTAAAACTTAAAACAATGGTCCACATACTGATCACAAACACATTTTCAGTAGATTACTCACAGAATAAATGCACTTGTGTAAATCATGTTCCTTGCTTTCAGGCTGATAGATATGTAGCTTGGGTGGCTATAGTTCAGATGGTAGAGCCAGTTACCTACTACTCAGAAGGTCGGTGATCCCAGTGTCAGTGTCCCAGTAGATGCCTGTGTGACACACTAATGTGTGATCAGAAGTAGTACTTATTAAAAATGAGAGATTTGTCACCGAAGTGAACTATGTGTAAGAGGTAGTTGCACGCCCCGGCCTCCGGGTGGCGCATTGTTCAGTGAGACAGAATAGCGAGGTCATAGGTCCTCCTCTCCAAGATGGCAGAAGCGAGGCAAAGAGAAACTTCACCAGTCTCATCATTTCCCTGTTTTGCAGGAACATTTAATCTGTTTTACCGGCCAGAACTCTGGGTCGGTTACACCTGTCTTCGGCAAGTTACTCTGTGATGCATCCATTGGTGTGTGTGAATGTTAGCTATAAAGAGGGGAAGAGGGGCGGTGTTGGTGTGAATGGATGATCATGAGCAGAGTGTAAAGGCATTGAGTGCTGAGATAGAGCAGAAAAGTGCTAAATGAGAACCATTCTACAAATTTTATTTATTTATTTTTTACCATAGATAGAAATCTGCTTGACAGACAGGTGGACCTACATGTTTTCATGCTGTACAGAGCAAAAACAGCATATCACCTTCTCTGTCTTACTGACACACACGCACATAAAGTGAGTCACATTCACACTTTTAACCTTGATCATAACATCACGCCGCTCACTACTCTACATTACAATAGTCTAACTAAAGTAACATAAAGACAACGGTGGCCCCTTGAAGTCCAAGGGATGCTTATTGCATAATTCACAGAATAACGAGAACATTTATTTACAGAATTTCTCATTTAATAAGTTTCCAGTGACCAATTTCTAGATAAATCCATAACCCCCACACACATTGTGGGGGCATGTTTTCAACATAGAAGTGGAAACAAATGTTTTAGTCCATTACAAAAACACAAAGACAAACTACTTCACCAAGGAAACTTAATCTTTCTGACCTTACAGTCATTGATAGGAATCCTCCAATCTAACTTCCTAGTGTATACTCTTTCTCCTCTTTTCTTTCCTTCCTCTATTGAGCAGTGATTTTGTAGTGTAACTGTCCCTGAGACAGTTAAAATAAAGTTGGTTATTTCATGTTTCTGTGATAGATTCATGCTTAATTTAGTTCATTTATTTATAAGATAAGATGATAAAAGTGTAACATTAATTAAAAAACATGTCTAAAATATGTGATTACAAAATATGGGTTTGTTAAATATGTAAAGTGCTGTAAAGTTTGTATGAGGTAAAGTTTGTAATTGTCACATGACCAGAGTTTGGTTGAGAGCACAACCATGGCATTGTGGAGCTAGCATGGATACATGGCTACAGATGCATCTACAGCCTCAGCGTTAATGTTATTCTGCATGTGGTCCAAGAGGCGCACACGGTATGGTTTCATGTATATTGTTTGTATAATGTTGCATACGTGTTCTACACTGGTAATGAGAGGACATTTTTGTGATATCCATTATTGTTGCACAAGACTGTTTATGGACACTGATATGAGAGACTGATAAGCTCAAAACATTTATGTTGTAAACTTTGTGTTTCTTCAGTTTTCACGGTGTCTGAAGACAATAAGAGTGAGAGAGAGAGAGAAATAAATTTCCGAAGACATCAGTATGATGCGTGGCCATTCTTTGTTGGACCCCTGTAGTTACAGTATGTTTGTTTATTTATCTATTTTTGTTTTGTTGCTAAACATATTTTAAAATGCTGTGCTGATTCTGAACTGCTAAAAATGTTTGTACAAATGACAGAACAAGGCAGAGAAGTGCTGATAGAGTAGAAAAGCACTATAAACACAGTGAAGCTGGAGGATGAATGCTAACTTTTTTCCACTTGATAAAAGTTAACGTGATGGTTCCCGATGGCTAGGCTGACAGTGATCACTGACTGTTTTTAGGGGCTTGTTCAGATGTAATAGAACAAGATAAAAAGCATTAAAACATTTTAACAGCACAACAGGCTTAATAAACACAGAGTAGTTTAGGCCCGGAAGCAGGATTCATACATCATCACTTAAAGAACAGCTCTCGGGGCACAGCTAGCTCAGTAGATGCCACATGATCAGAAGGTTGGGCGTTCAAATCCAACGAACAGCGGCTATCCTGGATTTGTAGCTGCCCACTGCATCACTGAGTGAATGGGTTAAATGCAGAGGACTAAGCATTTTCCTACAGGATTAATGATGTATACATAAACAATGAGATTCAAGATAAGACAAATTTGATAATATTTGACACATCTGTAAAGCAGAAATATCAGTAAAATACACAGGAAGTAATATATCTGAAATATTAGTAAAAAATAACTTAATATAATGGTAAATAGCACACTTTTATGGCATTTGTCAACACCATTAGAAAAAGGGTCAATACCATCAGACAAAAATCCTGATGGTGTTGACAAAATACCCTACTTTCTCTCATAACACATGTTTTTCTGACAGAAGCCATCTTGTTTTTCATCAGTTGCTTATGGCCTCTACAATCTACCTAAATTAAGCTCTTTTTACAAAAAAAATAAACTAAAAAATAAAATCTTGGATTACATCGACTTTGGTGTTGACACACTATGGTTGTGACACAGAGTTTTATCAGAAAGGTGTGCAATAAATGAAATTTAAATTTTTTTTTTATCACAGCAGTGACCTCATGGCATGTGTATCAAACAGGAAGTGGTAAAGGGGTCCTCAGAGTGTAAGCTACCCATAATAATTCCTGATTTTTTTGTACTTTTAAAAAAATCTGATGGTGTTGACAAAAACTCTGGACACGATTTTAATCACTTAAAAAATATGTAAAAATAAATTTTCAATTGCATATTTTGATATTATATAAGGTATTGACTTAAATACTTAGTGACGAGAGCCATGATGTTTAATTTTACATTACTTTAATTTTTTTTTCTGTATTTTAATATTATCACACCTGCTTCTGGACAATGGATTTTTAGGGTACTGGTAATGTATTGTACCATTTAAAATAAATAAATATGTATAATAAAATGCAAAATCATACTTTTGTTGTATACAAATTGCCTTGGTTTGTCTTTTAGGCATCGTGGCTACATTTCTGTAGAAGTGTATTGGGGTTGCAATTAGTAGTAGTGCATAGCGTTTCATGATCGTGCTCTAAAGTAGCTTGTTTATCCCAAATTTCTTGTGCAGCCTGTAAAGGTGGCCCAGTCTGTAGGTTTAGCAGTCCAATGGAGTTGATTCATGTAGTTTGTTCAGTTCTTGTGCTGCGGCCGGTGAGATGCATTCTTTAAAGATTCCTTTGAACGTGTTGTTTTCTCTCATGAATAATATAAAACAAAAAAGCAAGCAAGGTCTGTAATGTCATTGCAGGATTTCTATTTTTACATTTTTCATTAAACAAACCAAAACGTATTTTGAACTCATTCTGATGTCGGCATTTACTCTGGCGAACGTGCAAGAAGAGGCAATATTACGTCCAACTGGGAAATGAAGAGACCTAAAACGACCTAAAAGCCCTAAAATTTATCTTCAGTTTAAGTAAAGAAGAAGAGGAAAAACTTCCTATAAGGAACCGAGATGAAAAAAAATAACCTACCTGTGAGTCGCCGACCCCCTTAAGTAAAATTTAAAAACCAAACAGGCTACCACTTCAGGAGGAAGATTCGTTGTCGCGTTGTGGCTCACAGAAGAGCCTCCGTGCTCACAGGTAAAATTGGCTCAGGACGGGGCTCAGTTTAAAGCAAAAGCAACGTATATATCCGCTTTCCTTTACACTATTCGCTCCAATAGAAAGCTTAAGCGTTAAAACGGCCGTGAAGTCTTCTGCGAATCTCCCGATATTTAAAAATATAAACTATATATGAAATTAGTTGTAATTCGGCTTAAAACTGCGTAATTTTAGAAACAGGTGCGAAGTGCACAAATATAGAATTTATGAATACGAATAAATACGTAAATTATTGAAACAGCGGCCATGCAGAAGTCTGAGTAAGTCGATATCTTAAGATATCTGCACATTACACAGGGGAAAGTGCTATATAAATAAAGCGGTCTTGCTTTGTTTTAGCTAAAACGAAATTTTGAACTAAGGATGGCAACTTCTTCCGTGGTGGAAACAAACATCCATGCTTTTAAAGCTCTCTGTAGATGCACGAAGAGAAATGCTCACACATTTCGTTTCTTCAGAATCATAAATATTTTGACACACCTGTACTCGGAGGTTCCTTGGCTCAGTTTTATTTTCTTCCATCTTGTACAAATATCCACAGTTGTGTCCCCACGTGGCCCATTAGTTGATGTAATCACGCCTTTCGTCTTCTGTCTGCTTTTGGGCAAAAATACCTCCTCGGAATATTCAGTGTCGCCTGTGACACTCATCATTTCCTTTATCATAGAAGTGCGAACAACGACGGGACTAAAGACGAGCCACTGCGCGCAGCCATTACGCACTGCTGTGTGGCTCATGTTACCTGTTATCTTTATTTCAACAGAAGGTGATGTAGGTTACAACACGATCTTACCGCTATTAGCAACATTAAAGATGTAAAAGGTGTTATTCAGAGGGCAACCTAGCGTGAAAAACAATTTTCTCACGATATTAAATTACATTTTTCGGTTTTCTTGCTGGTCTTTGCGCGTTGGGTTTTCTCTCTAGCTCACAGATCTCATCCTCTCTGACAGGTCAAATAAAGTAACAGCCGCCATAAAAATTCAGGGATTTATGTTATTATATTGCAATTCTGAAACAAATGAACCAATATTCAAATAAAGATTGGTAACAGTGATTACCTGTAGTTTTAGAGATGGCAGGAAATCGCAGTCTGTCTCAGTAATGGGTTAAGGCGGAAAAATAAGTGACAGGAGTGCCATAAAATGCCTTTGTGTTTCCGTGTCTGTAGTTCATGAAGAAAAAAGCCTAAATTAAGAACACCGCAATGATGAGCCGTCGTTTTAGATCATGCTGTATTACCTCCAAGATCTGGAGATGAAGCTTAAACTAAAACTTAAAACAATGGTCCACATACTGATCACAAACACATTTTCAGTAGATTACTCACAGAATAAATGCACTTGTGTAAATCATGTTCCTTGCTTTCAGGCTGATAGATATGTAGCTTGGGTGGCTATAGTTCAGATGGTAGAGCCAGTTACCTACTACTCAGAAGGTCGGTGATCCCAGTGTCAGTGTCCCAGTAGATGCCTGTGTGACACACTAATGTGTGATCAGAAGTAGTACTTATTAAAAATGAGAGATTTGTCACCGAAGTGAACTATGTGTAAGAGGTAGTTGCACGCCCCGGCCTCCGGGTGGCGCATTGTTCAGTGAGACAGAATAGCGAGGTCATAGGTCCTCCTCTCCAAGATGGCAGAAGCGAGGCAAAGAGAAACTTCACCAGTCTCATCATTTCCCTGTTTTGCAGGAACATTTAATCTGTTTTACCGGCCAGAACTCTGGGTCGGTTACACCTGTCTTCGGCAAGTTACTCTGTGATGCATCCATTGGTGTGTGTGAATGTTAGCTATAAAGAGGGGAAGAGGGGCGGTGTTGGTGTGAATGGATGATCATGAGCAGAGTGTAAAGGCATTGAGTGCTGAGATAGAGCAGAAAAGTGCTAAATGAGAACCATTCTACAAATTTTATTTATTTATTTTTTACCATAGATAGAAATCTGCTTGACAGACAGGTGGACCTACATGTTTTCATGCTGTACAGAGCAAAAACAGCATATCACCTTCTCTGTCTTACTGACACACACGCACATAAAGTGAGTCACATTCACACTTTTAACCTTGATCATAACATCACGCCGCTCACTACTCTACATTACAATAGTCTAACTAAAGTAACATAAAGACAACGGTGGCCCCTTGAAGTCCAAGGGATGCTTATTGCATAATTCACAGAATAACGAGAACATTTATTTACAGAATTTCTCATTTAATAAGTTTCCAGTGACCAATTTCTAGATAAATCCATAACCCCCACACACATTGTGGGGGCATGTTTTCAACATAGAAGTGGAAACAAATGTTTTAGTCCATTACAAAAACACAAAGACAAACTACTTCACCAAGGAAACTTAATCTTTCTGACCTTACAGTCATTGATAGGAATCCTCCAATCTAACTTCCTAGTGTATACTCTTTCTCCTCTTTTCTTTCCTTCCGCTATTGAGCAGTGATTTTGTATGTGTAACTGTCCCTGAGACAGTTAAAATAAAGTTGGTTATTTCATATGTTTCTGTGATAGATTCATGCTTAATTTAGTTCATTTATTTATAAGATAAGAGGATAAAAGTGTAACATTAATTAAAATCATGTCTAAAATATGTGATTACAAAATATGGGTTTGTTAAATATGTAAAGTGCTGTAGAGTTTGTATGAGGTAGAGTTTGTAATGGTCACATGACCAGAGTTTGGTTGAGAGCACAACCATGGCATTGTGTAGCTAGCATGGATACATGGCTACAGATGCATCTACAGCCTCAACGTTAATGTTATTCTGCATGTGGTCCAAGAGGCGCACACGGTATGGTTTCATGTATATTGTTTGTATACGTGCATACGTGTTCTACACTGGTAATGAGAGGACATTTTTGTGATATCCATTATTGTGCAAGACTGTTTATGGACACTGATATGAGAGACTGATAAGCTCAAAACATTTATATTGTAAACTTTGTGTTTCTTCAGTTTTCACGGTGTCTGAAGACAATAAGAGTGAGAGAAAGAGAGAAATAAATTTCCGAAGACATCAGTATGATGCGTGGCCATTCTTTGTTGGACCCCTGTAGTTACAGT